ATATGTTTTGTCATATACGTTTAAATATTAAAATCGATTAAAAATATATATTTAATCATTTAATCCCATGCCAGGCGTGGGTCAAAATCTAGTATACATTAAACTTGCATAATGACAAGTCATATAAAATAAAAAGTAAGGTTAGAATGATAACTAATATGAAACATAAAGAGTATTATTTAAACCACAATTCAAAACTACAAATAGTCACAACTTTAAAAAGTGGAAATCAAAAGGCTAAAACAAAGTGAAAGAGATGCCGGGCTAAAGCAAGAATTTTGAACAACTTGGTGATTGTACTTTGATTATTTAGGCTACAAGACAAGAAAAGGGGAAACACTATACACCATTTTTTAAATTCTGAATTCGTTTATTGAAGATTATACGATGCAAATTTACGCGTGCATTTCACCGCATGAAAGCGTAAAAATTAGATTTTTTTTTTTTTTAATATAGCTCAAGTCACATACTCTTTTATGCAAATTTTTAAGGCTTTACTAGCATCCCCCAATCCATTATTTTGTTTTTATTACAAAAGGAATAATTGGCAATATAACACCAACAAAAATTGTATTTTAAAAACTAGCCAAATCCCCTTTATGTGGCAATAATATAGCCATATAGGGTTTTTAGTTAAGTTTTTTGATATATATATTTTTTTGGTTATACCATAAATTAACCCATTTCAAAATATAGTAACTCCAAAACAGAACTAAATTTATTTAAGTTTCAATGTATGTTTTATTCCAAAATAAAGTAATGAACAAAAAATGGAATCATAAATGTAATTGCTCTAAATATACAGTAGTCCTATTTTGTTAACTCTGTTTCCAAGCTTCCAAAATTTCTTTATAGTGAAAAATAAAATAAGGTTAGAGATGCTTTTATTTATCATGAGTCTACAAGATTTGTGGCTATTTGTCTCTGTCAATTATCCTTCCGTTGATTGGCTCTATAAAAGCATGAGTAATCTCTAAAAATCGTGTTATGTGACTTGACTTTGATTCTTCTAGTTACCTTACGGTCCTCGCACATCATCAACGGACAAAAGACTATATACTTACACCTATAATCTATATAGGATAGTTAATGATCGCAATTATATATGACATAGATTAAAAATGGTAGTCGTAACACTAAAAATATGTTGCGTTCGTTACTCGTAATTCGTAACTCGTTACACCTTCAATCGTGTC